AGATAAAAACCTCATGGGGCTTAAAGGAGATGTACAGTTGGATGTCATCTGCATAAAGATGGTAGGAGATTCCTTTGAAGGAGCTCGGGATGTGCTGAAGAGGAAGCAGATAGAGGAGGAAGAGCAGAGGCCCCAGCACAGAACCTTGTGGGACACCATGGGTAAGAGAGGTGGTGGAGGACCTAAACTTGGAGACGGCCACAGAAAAGGAGCGCTCAGAGAGATAAGAGGAGAACCACTCCAGAGCAGATCCTGATAGGCCTACCCAGTCTCTCAGCCTCTCCAGTAGCAGGTGATGGTCAACAGTGTCAAAGGCTGCAGTCAGGTCCAGCAGGACCAGAACCAGAACCCTGCATCACTGTGGGTCAGAAGGTCATTAGAGACCCTAAGAAGAGCTGTTTCAGTAGAATGAGCTCTACGAAAACCTGACTGGAAGCTATCATAGATGTTATGTTCATCAAGAGCAGCTGTGAGTTGTTTAGCCACAACCTTTTCCAAGATCTTGGAGATGAACGGAAGGTTAGAGATGGGTCTGAAGCTGCTATGGAGACTCGGGTGGATTACAGCGTTCCTAAAGTAAGCAGAGGTCTGCGCTGCTCAGAGGTCCCTCATCAACAGCGAGGACTGTGATGTGCTCTTGTGTACTTCTAAAGGCCCGGCCGAGAGAATGAGCACATCTCCAACAAGCGTCCGAGCCGGGTTCTTTACGTTCACTGATGCATCGGTGAAGAACCAAGTGTAGAGAAGCAGTCTTGGCTGCATGACATCACTGCATCCTGCTGCCACCAGACCCGAGCTTCCTGTGTTCATGCTGCAGGACCCGGGAGGTGTGAGTGTGTTAGCAGGAGGCTGACCCGCTCCTTCATCCCTTCATCAGCTCTGCACCCTCTCTGGATTGGATCTCCTCAGAAGTCTCACTTGTCTGCTTGTTGCAGATGAAGTGAGCGCTCAGATTCCCACAAGCACGACGCCGACCAACTCTTCGAGTCAGGGTGCAGAGCGCTGCCCAGAATAACGCGCCGTTTTCACACCTCCTCTGGGTTGCGTGCCATCACAGAAGAGGAAGGAAGGAGACCAGCATGTCCTTATCTTCATCATCACCCATGAAGCACGTTGAACCAGCTGCTTCACAGACGCTCAGCTCCACCGTGTTTTACAGGAAGGTTCTTCTATTTCAACAGTAAAATCAGGTCTGACCATATATGGGTCACTTCCTGTCTGTGGTGAAGTAAAACAGAGAACAGTTTATGGGAACATAAAAAGAAAAAAGCCAGAACCACGGTGTGTTTAGGTTCTGGTGTGTGATGTTCTCAGGAGAACGTTCTGTCTGGAGAAGATAACTGGTTCTGGTTTTCTTTCTGCTTCCTGTTCACTCATCACCACCTGCTGCTTCCTGGAACACAAAACCAAAAGCACCTTAGCTTCCTAGCTGAGTTTGGGTCACATGACCCATCTTCACTGAGCAGAGACTAAGACTGAGCAGGTGATATCACCTGAGGTAGAACAGGTGATATCACCTGAGGTAGAACAGGTGAGTTCCTCCAGAGGTGTAAAAGATCTTCAAGCCCTCAGATCGGTTGTGTTTGTGTGGTTTACCTGCCTCAGCCCAGATGACCTCTGACCCCAGGAGGGATGACCGTCCAAACCAAGCTGGTCCAGCCTATTCAGCATGCTCACAATAACTCCGTCAGAGCTGATTTCAACACGATAGAGGTGTTTACACGGTCCACCCGGTGAATGTAACACGAGATGGTGAGTTTGTACTTTAACTCTGATTTAGACACGATAGTAACACGTGCACTGGTGTTAAATATTTAACTCTAGAGGAGCTAAATCAGAGTTAACGTACCAGCTCACCTACAAAGTGAACTAATCTTGGTGTTAAGTT